CCTTCGGGGGTCACCACCCTCCGCCCCGTGCCGCCCCGGCCCCCGGCGGGTGGGGGCGGCAGAAGCGGGCTGTAAACAAAAGGGGCTTAGGTGTCGCGCAGTCAGGCCCCCCCCTCCCCCGGGCTCCGTAGACAAAGCGCTCGGAGCAGCCCGGAGTTGGGCTCCGCTCCAAAGGCTAAAACCCCTCGGTTTCCAGAAGGAAAAATGATCCCAAGTTGTTCTTTTGTCAAGTGAAATTCAGCGGTGGACGATGAGGCTCAGTTCCCCTTTCTTCTGGAAACATCTCATAGCCACCCGACGACCCCGGTTAGGATCAAATACCGAGCTTCTTCGCTGCCCCGTGGGCTTTGTAAGCCCGAGCCTCTGTCCCGGTGTGCCTCATAGTGCTACAAGTAGTCTCAGACCGATAGGCTTTTGGGTGGGATAGAACTCCTGAGGTAAGTGAAGTCATTGGTATCTTGCCCTGGAAAACAGGCTGGGAAGAGCGGTGGTGAAATACCTCTTGAGTCAGTCGGTAAATTCTGGCCAGCTCCTTCCCTAGTTATTCTTGGCCGTTCTTAAAACGTGAGGATCTAAGCATGGGTGTGATCTCGAGAGGATGCTGGAAAAATGGTTTTATTTCCTTCTTGGTTCGTGAAGTTTTGAAGCCCTTGACTTTTTTCTGCTATGTAATCACTTTTATATATTCGTTTCTATGAATGCCAGGAAGTTGCATCTCACTCCGTTCAGATGGCAAACCTTGTTCTTTGTATATGGCAGCATGAAACAGTAACTTCATACATGAGTACTTTGCAAGCGACACTGCACTTAGATAAATCGTCAACAAAATAAATGCTATAATGATTTTTCAGATCACTTGATGCTAAAGTAGTAAGCTTTCCAACATGGAGAGCAATGATCACTGCACATCTCTTTGAATACAGAATTAAGGAGGATAATTTTTTTTTTATTTTATAGAACATTATAAACACCACTGGTTCCCAGAAAAGCCATGCAAGGGATCAGGTTACCGATGTATCCGGATCAACCATAAAATGGATCCTCTCATTGGACAGGCAGCACAGCGGATTGGATTGAGCAGTCAGGAACTGTTCCAGCTTCTTCCGAGCGAACTCACTCTATGGGTTGACCCGTATGAAGTGTCCTATCGTATTGGAGAGGATGGCTCAATCTGTGTGCTGTATGAAGCTGCACCAGCAGGAGGTAGCCAAAATAACACCAACATGCAAATGGTAGACAGCAGAATAAGCTGTAAGGAGGAACTTCTCTTGGGCAGAACTAGCCCTTCCAAAAGCTACAATATGATGACTGTATCAGGTTAAGATATAGTCTGTGGATGGATCACCTTAAAATGGATGGATAAATTTGGTTTTTACTTTGGGTGGGCACCTCTGGGGATGGATTATGGAATTTAAACCATGTCACAGCTGTGAAGATCTGGCACACGTTAGAGTGGTATACTTTAAAGTGACAGTGCCATAGTTTGGACAGTACCTTTCAGTGATTTAATAGCCTGTGAGTCAAAATGATTGCAACTTGCTAGGGAGTGAAGAAGATCTAGGAAGGGTCAGTTTCTCCAAGACATCTTACTTAATTTCTACATGAATTTTCAACCCCAATCTGTATTTATAAAGTGATTCTCTGCAGTAGGTCTTGCAGAGTAAATTTGCACTATTACATTTATTAATTGTTAGCATTTTGGGCAGCTCAGTAACAAGACTTATTATGAACACCATAGTACTGGAAATTTTATTTTTCAGACTTTTACCAAGCACTTACAAATATGTATAAATGTACATAATATAAACTAGTAAGTATGACCTGGGGAAATGGTCAGATCTTTACATTGCCCTCAAAAGTAGCAAGTGATCAGAATCTGCCATGGCAACAGGCTTTAAAAAGACCGTATAAAGACACTGTCTGAACTGTGGTGTTAGCACCAGCCAGCTATCTGTACATTTGCTAGCTTGTAGTTTTCTAAGACTGAGTAAACTTCTTATTTTTAGAAAGTGGAGGTCTGGTTTGTAATTTCCTTGTTCTTAATTGGGTAAAAGTCTTTTTCCACAAACCACCATCTATTTTGTGAACTTTGTTAGTCATCTTTTATTTGGTAAATTATGAACTGGTGTAAATTTGTACAGTTCATGTATATTGATTGTGGCAAAGTTGTACAGATTTCTATATTTTGGATGAGAAATTTTTCTTCTCTCTATAATAAATTGTTTCCTATCTTGGCATTTTAATTAATCTCTTGTCGTGATTATATAGGATCAGTTAAACTATTTTTGTCTCAGTAGAAATAGGTACTATAAAGGCTTAAGATAAACATCAATATCACCCTGATGCTAGGGAGCACTTGGTACAGACATGGATTAATGAAGACCTCGTATAAATGCTTGGGAAGTTTAGGGAAACACAATGATGTACATGTCACTTTAAACCTTTTAAAATCACTCAATGTGGAAATAACTCCAGGGCCAGTAATTCAAGGATATGAGGAAAAGGTACAGAAATAACATCCACCAAAGATGACTTGAATAAATCCAGAGGATCAAAGTTTACCTGGCTTCCTGATGAAGGATATAGGAAACCTAAATGTCCATTTTGACCTACTTGCTCACAAGTTCTCAGTTCTTCCCTGATGGAATGATTCCCTGCTCAATAAGAGTTTCTGGGACAAGTGTCCTTTAGCCTTAAGAGCAGGTTAACCGCTCTACAGAAAGGTTGCTCGCCTTTTGCTTTCTTCAGATGCAAGACTTTCACTTTAGAAATCATTAAGATGGAATTCAACAAAAGGTATGTAGATCTTTTTTCCCAAACTTAAAAAGGTTGGTTGAGGCAAAGTGAGAAGCCCATAATTACATGTGTATTCAAAGTTAATGAATGATGTAGAGATGTGATTCACTTAAGCACCACACTGAATGTCATTTGTATACAGCATAGTGGTTAGTTACACTTGGGAGAAATTCCTTACCCCTTTATTTACACTTGTTAGAAGTGCTGGAGTAAAACAACTTTCTTGTCCTTATCTCCTTTATACTTTGTTCTGAGAGTGCTTAATAAAAGGCCTACCCTACTTGGTCACTTTGAGAACTGCTGTTCTTGTTCTGAAGGCAAACTATCATTACTTGCCAATTAAACTTACTAGCTATGGACAGAACTGAGCTTCAGACTTACCATGCATTGAGGCAACTCCTGCTCAACAATGCACCTTTACGATGTGTAGTAATGTGATGTATCTCCAGTTCAAAGCTTTGTCTTCTGACCGGTAGTATAAACTGATTACATATAAGCAAAATGTAAGACTGAACTGTCACGCCGCTTTTGCCAGTTTCTTTGCCACTGTCTGAAAGTTTGGCTTTTTCAAATATTTTTTTATGATAATCTGCATATGTATGCCAACATTCAGCATTTTAAAGTATTGCTAGGGCTTCTGCAGTACTATGTATGACTTTCTGGCATAGACTGGTGGAAGCATAAGTGCTCCTGGAGCAGTATACTTTAAAGAGCTTGCTCAGTATGTGGATATGGCAATAATAGATCTATTACCAAAGCTTTGGAATGAGCTTGCTTTAAAGTACAGGTGTTACTCGTGTAGAGTCAAAGCTTAGGTTCATATCTTGATACCTCTAAAAATTCCACTACTATTAAGATGAAGCTTTCAAGTTAAGTCTGTAAGCAAAAGATTTATTCAAGCAGTAGGAGTACTCAACGACATTTCTGTTGCTTTACATGTCAGCAGACAGCATAAGTATATCCAAATAGAAAGAAAAACATTGAGCTTGGCTTCCTGTAAAGCTATATTAAACTTTCATGAAGCTCACTGCTGACTGAGCTGTGTTTGGTATATCATGGTGCGGCCTGTAATCTTTTCTGCTGCACAGTGAGAACAGCATCTGAAAGGGTAGCTGTGTAGTTGGTCTTTGACATGAGCTATGCACATTATGAAAGCATTAGCTGTCGGTACTTTCTTTTTGATAAGTTAAGCATAGCCTTGTGAGGCAGCAAGTATTCTATCTGTGAGGCTGGCATGTGATGCTGAACCAAGAAAGCCTGCTCCTTTAGATGGTTAACATTTTAGTCCTTTTACGGTAGGGTGCTTTCATTCATGGCATAATTTTTTAACTGCAGCTGTAACTAGTAATGGGTACAACCTGTGTCCTCAGAGTTGGGCTTTCTTCCAGCTGGAATTTAAATATACTCCAGTGTGCGCACAATGTGCCCTTGTCTGATTTTGAAAGTACTTAGCATACTGTGGCAGCAGGGCACAGGACAGACTCTGAGAGTCTGTAAGAGGAGGCTGTTGCCAATCCTGTCACATTTGAATTTCATTTAAGGTGCCATTATGAAACCAGCAAGGCTTTTATTTTAGTGCAAATATTAGAAGTGAGACAGCAAGATTCAAGACCTGCTTGCCCAGTGCACGTTAGTTAAATTAGTTGGACATCCCTAGTGAAGCACTGAATAATCCTGTTCTGTTAGTGTTCTGAGGGCAGGCACGGCTGTATGCAGCTTTAATGTTACAGCCCTTCTTAGACTGATGGACCAGTCTGCTAAGATTTATTGGCCATTCAGGGGATGTCTTTATAAAGTGTACAATTGCCTTCTGGCTTATGCCAGGTGAGCAAATGTTTCTTTTTCTCACAGCATGTTCCCCCACTGTGCTATGTGTGCTACCAGATCCTATGCCCTCGAGTTTACTTTTGTATTTCATATTCAGTAACGATGCTCCTCCTATAAAGAGTTGTATTATATGTGTTCTGTAAGAATATCTGTTCTTTTGTTCTCTTTGCAGTTGTGTGTTTTTTTCCTGCTTATTCTGGAGATGTACGTCTGGTTTAAACAGTCATTTGGACCATGATCTTTTTCTTCCTGTAGATCTTAGGGTCATTCATTCTTAGGTCTGAATAGAGATGTGAGGGCTTTCATTCAATTACTAATAACGCTGATTTTAGTTTTCTGCTTTTCTACTGGCTCTGCAAAGGTGGTCTTGTAGATCTGTATGACAGGCCTCATTGTGCCACAGGATTTTCTTATTATTGGTTCGTTCTATCGGTCTACATGAGAATGTGGAAATAACCTACATGAGGCACTCTTCTGATGTGAAAATACCATCACTGGCTTATACTTTTGTTATCTTGTATTGAGTCAGTTTATAGGATAAATAAGTCTCTCCTATTCATCACTAAAGAGAGTCTTCTTGGATCAGAAGATGAAGTTGCGCTGTCTTCTCTCATAGCTAGTGATGACAATTCTGAAGGCTAAATATTACTAAGCCTGTATGCTCTTGAGCGCCTTCAATTTAAATGGGCAAAAGCGTAGTTTGAGAGATGATTTAGAAGCAGTAGGACCTTACAAAACAGTTTACTGATGTGCAAACCATAAAGAATCCAGTTAATGCTCCTGGAGTGGTTGGTTCGTGCTGATGCTTGTAAACATTTCTGTCACCAAATTAAGCAGATGTCTCTGAACATGAACACTAAATCCACATAAAATGTCCTTCTAATTAACCTTGCTTACTTACGCTGTGAGAATATCATCTCTTGTTATTGTGCAGGTTAGCAATGAATAAAATGAAGGGCATTGCTTCTTTTCTTTCCTGTGTATCTATGTAAAGCTTATTTCTTCATTTCCATAAATCAAATAGCACCCTACATTTTCCAAAGTTTCCTCTACTCGATGCCATAATTTTTAGGGAAAATAGTTTGTATTGGCAGAAGCTGCCACTTGACTGAAGAACATTAAAGCTGTTTTTAGTTTAAAGAGTGAAGCATGTATAGACTGGAGATAAATAGCTCTCCTAAAAAGGAATGTATATTTACACATTCTTGGTGTAATAGCAGAGGTTATTTTTACTGTTTCAGATTTACATTCCAATGTAGCATAAAGTGAACCATTGTGAAGCAGGATGTTAGTTCAGTGGCTTTCAAGGGTTGGTAGAGCAAGCTGGGCTTAGACAGTAAATGCTGTATTAATGGTTAGCAGTAACAATTTCATCAACATAGGAATTGCAGGGTATAATTAACATCAGTTGCTTTGACACTATACTCTTAATGTATGGCTTCAACCTTTCTTTCAGTAGCAGTTGGAGAATGCACTGTGACAAATTATTGCTGATAAAAAGTAGGTCAACAGTAAAATGGCTGATTTACCATAAATGAACAGAACTAAATTATTGTAACTCAGTGTCCAGTGGCGTTTTCTTAGTGGCTCTTTTGTGTCCTTGTGTTTCTCAAGCATGAACCTTGTATACAGCTTTTCCTAACTCCTTATTTCCTAAGCATTTGATGTTTTTACCTCAACAAGAACACTTCCTCCCAGCTGCTGGGAAGAAATCCACATGAGCAGTAATGCTTTATGCATGACAGCAGATATTTGCCCTTGTAGTGTTGTATTTCTGTGACTGCAAAGCTGGCAAGAAAAAATGACTTGCAAGTAAGGAAAACAAGCGAAAAGCTGCCTCCAGGTTTTGAGGTTTTCTCCAGTGGAAGTGACCCATGGCCAACACACGAGGAAGGGAAATGGGACTGTGATGATACTGGATGAGAAAAATCCCAGACTGAGGGAATGTTGGACATGTATTTGTAGAGGGAGGCATTTTTATCTTGTGATTCCTGTGATGAGCTGCTCGGCGTCTCATCACAGCTTGCAACAACCTTTTAAAGTTTTCTTGAGAGGTGTAGCTTTATTTGATGCTTTTACTCCTTGGATGTCAGGAAATGGCCTCTAGCTTTGCAGTTTTTCTGGGGCATCATAAAGTCCAACATGGTTGTTTTATGTGCTGATTATATAACTGAATAAAATGATAAATGAATCTTAAGGTTTGTAAGGACGCAACGAAGGAAAACTTCAGGGTTCTTGGAGCAGCCTTGAATACCTGCAAGGAGCAGCAGTGTCTGAAATGCTCAACGACATGGGCAGGACTGAGGATGCTGCCCAGGTTGGCTTTCAGACAGTAATGCTTTCCTAAAGGGCTATGACATGGAGCTAAGGCTTGAGTACAGCTGCTAACTCCAAGATCAGCTTAAAGACAGATTTCTAGTACCAATAGTATCATCTTCTAACTAATGATACTTCCAACAGTGTACCCTTGCTGTTTGATGTTCTATAAAATTCAGTTATTTTTGCTTTTTGTAACCCAATAACAGGTAATAATTGGTATCTTTGGAGTTTTGATGGCCACAGGTTAATTATTGAGTTTCTTGTACTTTAAAAAGAATATTGAAATACAATGTTCATTCCA